ATGCTGCTCTATCATGTTCTGTCTAACCTCCTGAGACGACTCTCTCCTTGGCTTCCTCTGGTCCATGTTCAGTGTGGTCCACACCAGGTCACCAAACAGCACAGTGACCACCTGTAACCCTATAAACAGGCCCACTGACTGGTTACACGTCTGTGATGCTAATTAGAGGACACACCTTGACTGAACACGTCCCTATGGTCTCATTACTTTCAGTCTTTTCTAGGGAACCATCATATTAGTCCAGAACTGTTTCATGAGTTTATGTTTTAAAATAATTCTGTTGAACCACGGTTCAAAAGCAACGTCTGATTTTCACTGCTTAATTTTCATAGAAGTTTTATTGACTATTACTTTTGTCAGATTCAAGTCATTTCTGTGAACGTTGTGGGTTTTTCTTTCATTGACAGAGGGCTACCAACAGTTTTGTCCACGTGTGTTTATCCAACATTTTCGCTCATTGTGAAGCAGATCTGTGGTTTCATCATGTAGTAAACCATTACAACATTATAACTAGACAAAATCAAAAGATTTAATTAATGTAAAAGATAAAATTGGTATGAATTGTAGTTGAATTCCTCTGTGTTCCTATTGGATTGTATACAGTGCATTTCTATAAATCTTCATTACATTGTGTTTGATCAAAATGATTAGTAGTGAAGCTTTATTTGTTTGAGGAAAAGTTGAAAAAGCTGGAAGCTTCCTGCAATTTCACTTAACATTGCAAAAAAATAATGCAAATAGTTTCAGGTTCATTCAGTTAAGCAATGTAAAAGCAAAAGAGAGAGAAGAAATTAGGACTGGTTCACAGAAGGTGGTTTATTTTCATGTTGATTTGTCTTTTTTTCTGTGAGCTATAGTTCCAAAACACAACAGGACAAATGACTATATTTAAGTTTTTAAAAGTGTTAAAACAGATGCTAATATGTGCTTTCTGTGTACGCCGAATTTAAGAGTTTTTACCAATTAATTAAAACAACTGAATCACGGCGGCGTTACATGAGCTGAAAATTACTAGAAGCGGAATTTGGCGGCGCTTGAATGGAGTTCGGTGGGCTCATCCCGGACACTGGTTTATTTCGGGACTTGGCTCCAGGCTGTAGGCGTGGATCATGAGGAGTGCTGCGTGGAATACCCGGATGGAGCCGCGGCGCCATCTTTACGCCAGTGCTACCGGTGGGTCTTCGGCTCAGCGGAGCGACGGTGCTGTTGCTGATCCACCACCAGGAACTGCCGAGCAGCCCATAATCCCCCCTTTCCACCGGGACGCTACGAAAAGCCCCAGTACCCGAGCGCCATGGCGGACAGAGAGAACTTAGTATACCAGGCGAAACTCGCCGAGCAGGCGGAGAGATACGACGGTGAGTGTCCGGTTAGATGTCGGTCATTGCAGAAAGCCTGGCCCCGCTTCCCCCCACAGTCTCCCTGCGCAGGGGGCTCGGAGGCGCAGGTAAAGCAGTTCACATGGATCTGTTGGGTGAGAGGAGACAAAATGGCGGAGATTCCCCCAGCCGAATGAGACATGAAACGTTTAAAAAATGTTTTTTCTTTTGTCCACATAGAGAGCACGGCCATTACGGAGAAGCGGGTTCTCTGGTTTGCTGTAGTGTCCGGTGAACATTTACTGTAGTTACTCGGTGAGCTAAGCTAGTCTCCCGCTAGCGTTAGTTAGCTAGCTATAATTGCTAACTAGCTTGCTAGCCTTTCTTCAGCCGCGACACGCGTCACGCCAAACACCATTCAAAAATACAGCGGTAGAGCTGGCGTCCACACCCCGTCAAACATGACTTGCACTTACTCTGGATTTCTAGTGTCTGCGGATAAAACCGGGACCGTTCCGACCCAGCAGGCAGTGAAATGTGCTGCAAAAAACCGCCTCAGTTAATGCGGGCACAGCCTGTCGCCCCATCAAGTGTTATGGAGAGAAGTCAGGCTAACTTGTAGAAAACTTAGATTTTTATAAGTTTTCATGTCGTGTTGGGTGCAGGACAAATTCAACAGTGACGTTGCTTTTTAACAGCTCGTCAGACGTTGTAGATTAATTAACTCACCACTGCAGCAGCTTAAAACAAAAACATACATGCAAGGCTTTGTTCAGCTGTAAATTGTTAACCAGCAGCGTTTTCTCCCTGTGACTGAACAATAAACTGGATCGTGGGTTAAGCTTGGGCCAACTTTCTAGTAATCCAAGTAAATATTGTTTTGCTGTTTATCAATATTAAATCAAAAGTTTAATTGGTTTATTTATGCTCAGTCAGAGTCTGGTGCATGGCCAGGGCACACACAGAGGCCTCATTAGTACAGTTAGCATGCTGTTTGTCCTCATGGCCCCTGAGTTGAATTAAGGTTGTTTTTTTAAATTCTTCTGCATAGACACATTTGTGACACCTCCCTAAGATGTTTTAGCCACAGCCAATATTATCAGAATTATAAGAATGAATTAAAATGTCTTCACTAAGATTTCATGTAGCGCAATGGGCATTTATTGTTTATCAGGTGGTCAGAAATAAAAGAAAAATGACCCACAGCCTGAGAATAACTACCAGAGTACATCCAGTGTATACGTATGTTGCTGGCATCAGCTTTTGCATTAATCACTGCAACTGATAACCGTTGTCATTCTCAATTAATTGTCATAAATATCCGTCCTAGTTACAATGAGTGAAACCTTTAAATAGGTTGTTTTTGTCCAATTAGTGCGCTTAAAACCCAAGTCTAGTAAAAGTACATGGACTTGTAGTAAAAAAAAAAACAACAAATCCTAATTTTTGGGAAGATTTTTAGGCATTCATGCTCAGAGTCATTAATCATTTTTCTGACTAAGCAGTGTGTCAATGACCTGTTAATGCCTTTTACTAGTGATCAGACATGATATGGAGTTTTTCAGGGGGTGAGATGTGCACAGCCGCTAACAAAAGCACAACGTTTAAGATTTCTTATCCTGCCCTGATGAGTGTTTTCAGTCAAGCATAGTGTCTGTTTTACAGCTTGTTCCCATTCGTGCTGATGTAAAAAAAAACAACAACAAATAAACCCAAACAGCATTATGAGCAGTCATCATGGTGTGCTAAACTGTCTGCCCCACACATGGAGCCCCATTTGTCTCAAGTCTCTTCCCACTAACAGGAGTCAGTGGAGTTGCATTTTCCACATTTTTTAGCCGTGCTGCAGCTGCTGGCGTTGATTGTAGACGTTCTCGTCAGCGCGTCTGTGTCGAACATGGCTCTTGTTCTGTCTCATTTTTTAAGTTAAGATGAAGACACATGCTTCTTTAATGAAGCATTTTACAGATTCATGATTGGATCGGGCTGTTTGTAGGTTCGTTTCTCCCACTGGGGTATTGTTGCTGCAGCACAGGCAGGATTTTTTTCTTTATATGACTGTTCTGGATGTTGGTACCACAGTGAAGCAGGGATACAGCTGGAAGGGAACAAAACTATTAGCAGGTACGTTTCCGACCACCTGTTTTTATGTGCGGTTATAATTAGCACAAAAAAAAAAGCCTTGAGTTTAAGTGCCAGCTGTCCAGAAACGCCGGAAGATTTCAAAGTTTAGGCTTAGAAATCTGACAAAAGCTCATGAGTGCTGGAGTGTCATTGTGCGTTCGTTTGTCTCCACCACGCTGCGATTACGCCACCAGAGCACTGGTTTGCAGTGTGGGTTCTGTGCCGCACTGTTGTCTCGTCCTGTTCTTCAAAGAATGGCATCTGTAATGGACCAGATCGAGTTGGAGCAAATGCACAGTGAACAACAACCACTTTAACCAGAATCGCTTCAACACAGAAAAGAGAGGAGACGTTGGAACCGTTAAAGTCGACATACTAATTGGTAATTATGAAAACGAGAAAGCAGCATATGGCTAAACTGGCAGAAGACCTGCTCTCGCGGTTGCATCATGAGCAAGTCGGACTCAGTGACATCCTATTACATTAGAGGCATTATCGTTGTACAAATCAATATGTGTGTAAACACTGCATATTATTTTTCATCTCTTGGCCTCAAAATTAAGAAAGAGTACGAGGCCACGTTGGTGCGATGTCACATTATAACTGCAACGTCTCGGGTTCAACTGGTACCAGAGACTCTTGTTGCATGTAGCGTCTCTCTTTGACCCACTAGAGGAATGTTAGCTATTAGCAGGGATGATTGTGCTCAAAAAATATGTAATAACAGGAGTTTTCCTGGCCCAGAACGGGCCTTTGGGGCGTGACCGTGCATGACAGTCAGCATAATCTGTCCACATAACTTGTCCGTGTTTACTTATTGAACAGAATCTTTGCTTTGCTGTGATTTCTGATCGTTTTATAAACAGAAATGTCTCTTATGTTTAAGGTGTTTATGCCATATGCTAATTTACCTGGATTTGCTGCACGTGCTCCGTGTTTGTCTTGGGACACTCGTTGTCTATTTACTCGCTTTAACGTTTCCTTTTGAAAAAATATTCCTTCCTAAAAAACATGTTCTCCTTGTCAGCGTTTACTGTTATGCATAAAATCCCCACGTTAGAATCCTTGTCTATGTAAACCTACTTGACTATAATACTGATGTTGATTCGAAATTAAATCATAATTCACTAAATCTGGTAAAGTTTTTTTTAATCACCAGCTTATACCTCTTTGAAGCGAAGGAAACCCTCAATGAATGCAAAACTCTGACTAATGGTGCATTAACGACAGCATCTCTTTATTTCATGAGCTACACGACTGCAGCCTGACCTCTGTAAGTACTTTTATTAGCATCCTTACGACTCGGTGTCCACAGAGGTTGTATTGAGCCCCGTTGTTGAGCGAGCGGCGGACCAGTGACCGTGATCAGTTCAGTGGATCCGCAGAGCTTTTAATGCTGCAAAAATGTTTTAAAAGCGCAGCAAGGTCATTGGGTTGATTTGAGAGCACAGGCCAGGCCGGAGAGTAAGCGATCAAAGCAGCATAGTGCTCCTCCTGGCCGGTAACCATTGTGTATCAAGTTTCAGCAGCATGCTGCTATTGGCCTCCACAGATAACACCCTGTCTGTGGCGTTAAAAGCCAAATGATTGGCGTACTGTGCTCACCTCCAGGGCAGGGATGGGCAGCATGGCCAAAAAAACGATATGTATTTTTTCCACTCGGTCTTACGTACGATTCACTGTTGTTTTTCCTCTTTACAAACTCATAGGAAGTAATTTTCTTTCTCAAAAACTATACACGTTTCCCCTGCAACTGAAGCTCCATGTGCAGAACAACCAGCAAACGAAAGCACCTCTGGCACCCAGGAGGGAGGTAGCTGATGTTCGCAGCCTTTTTAGTTGTGGTTTTGTAATTGGGACGGGCACTAGCATGTAAACCTCACAGAAACACGCATTGCTCCCATTCCACTGCATGCTTTTGTCTCAGGTGCTGGGACGGATCTGAGCCGCCACAGTTGCTTTGAGCCGAGGTTTTACAAACTTTACACGGCCTGTTTGATGCCAGAGTGGCAAGAGCTGAAGTAACCCAACCACCGCTGCCATTATTCGTGTCTGAGCAGAACCTTCACATGCGTCTCCAAGGAGCGTCTTCTCACTGCTGGCACTGGTGTGTTCTTTGAGAGACGGAGAAGTCGCATATCTTTCATTATGTGGCCCCGCCCTGCTCTGGAGCACCAGGTTTAGCATCGGCTCTGACTCATCCACAGCTTGAGCCGCAGCTCTGTTTTTATTACCACAGAAGATAATGGCATATTTTGTCATTAGCATGCCACACCTGCTGTTACTTATGTAAGAGGGGGCTTTCTGTCGCCCCAGACAGTGTGTGTTGCATTCAAAATATTGTGCATTAAAAACATGCTTTCATGCGTTCTGAGGCTGAACATGATGTATGTTTGCTGACGGCTCTGAAGCAGTTTAATTTAGGTGTTTATGCTGCTGCAAAGCCTCCTCGAGCTGCTCCCAGTGATTTGATTAAAGAGGCTCCACATTGTGTCTCATTTATACTGACCCTCAGGGAAATCGCTTATAGTGCTGATTAATTACTCCTTCAGAGCAGACTGATATTTAGGATTTTTTTATTTGTTTTTTTTGCCATTTCATCCCCGAATTCTATGTTCCTGTTTCACGCCACACTGAACCACGTTGAAGACATCGCCTATTGAATCACGTTTGATCCAGCTCAGCACTCTGGTCCACGGTGCTGGCTCGGTTCCCAGCACCCCTCCATAGGTGTGCACAGGTAGAGGTGTTTCTACTCATGTAGTGTCCCAGGCACTGCATTCATGAAACACGGAGGATGACAGAAACCTTTCACGGCTCAACTCTGTGTTTTCAGCTCTCTTTAAACGGTTGGAGGATTTGTTTGTTTTTACTGAACAAAATCAGGGAAATTTAATCATCATGACGGAGGACCCAGCTTTTTAGACACGTTTTCATGCTTACCTCTCGTGGGCCACGCAGATAATTTTGGTTTACCAGATTTAAGATTCCTGCCTCCACCCAAAAAGAAGTGACGGAGATTCTGTCTGTGGTGCTGACAACATTTAGGAATTCCTGAAAACTATTCAGCTGCAGCATTTCCTCCTTGTTACTGTGGATAATCCACAGAACTCACGCTGAGCGGTTTTTAGTTGTTCATATAAGTCTGAATCAACACGCTGTATCGTCAGATTAGCGATAACGCGGCAACATTACCGGAGGACTGGAGGCAGTTTCTATGGTGGTGGTTTGAGAGAGATTCTGACAGACCTGATGGTGGATTTTTGAGTTCAGAACAAGTTCAAACCTCGACGAAGCCGGTCCAGACTCAGCCCATACCTCGTGTGACGAATACAACATGTTATGAAGATTTGAGTTGTTCCTGAATAAACGGTGCAGCTGGAGATTCTCCTCAGTAGATCAATGTGGTTTTGACGCGGCCTGTCTTTCTGTTGTTGTCGTTGAAGCGACGTTAACTGCCGGAGACGCTGCTGTTGTGCTGACGTCACACCAGAGCGTTTAGTGTCAGCAGATCGTGTCTCGTTTTCTCCCGCAGACAGTTTGTGCAACTTGTGTAGGTGTTCGGATGTATCGACGAGCTGCCTGAGCCGCGTTCGCCTCGTTAACATGACGGTCCAATTACACGAGATGCGACGTTTGTGGTGTAATCACGTATCAGCGTTTCCGCCGCCACCCTGATGCAACCCGGTACAGAAACACTAACTCCCACTAGAATTTATCGCACTGAAGTTGGAGGTAAAAGTAAATGTTGTTTTGTTATTATCAGTTGTTCGGCCCCTCTGACAATAAATAAAAATCCGACGTGGACCTTCAAGTGATAAATTTGAGGGCCTCAGATTAGGAATTTCGATTCATTTTGAACATGAACAGAAAGTTTAGAAATATTTCTGATACGACCTCATAATGAAGCTTTGTGCGAAACAAGCCAAACTTGACTTTGGTGTGACTCAAACATACCGTGTAGCTCTATCTTGAAATGCCTGTTTTCATTTTAAAGCCTGTGTTGTCTACATTTATGTTTGCCTCGTTCTTCTTTGCCTTTGTTGTCGTTTGTCTCGGCTCGTTGGCGCCACTCGTAGATCGGTGGAATAACTGGAGTTCTGAGAAAGAAGCTCTGCAGGGTACCTCTGTAAAATTTGCTTATCACATAATAGTCCAATTAGCCGCTAACTGGTGTTTGTATAAAGGAGTTGCTGAACTAGATAAGCTGATGGTGGTTTGATGACTGAGCAGGTTGTGGATGAAGCTGCCTATCTGGTCAGACGGGCAGACAGCATGTTCTACCCGAAGCAGATGCAATGAACGTGCAATACTTAATGAAGCAGCTGACGGCAGCATTGCCACTGCCTTGTGTCACTTGTTTCCTTGTGTGTGTGTCTCAGAAATGGTGGAGTCGATGAAGAAGGTGGCCAGTATGGACGTGGAGCTGACGGTGGAGGAGAGGAACCTGCTGTCTGTAGCCTACAAGAACGTGATCGGAGCCAGAAGAGCCTCCTGGAGGATAATCAGCAGCCTCGAACAGAAAGAAGAAAACAAAGGCGGCGAAGACAAACTAAAGATGATCCGAGAATACAGGAAAACGGTCAGACGTCGTCGTAAACCCACGCTTGACAGTGTCGTTGTTTTGTTTTTGCTCGCTGTGTGGAGGTTCTCGAGAATCTGAAGGTTTTGGATGTCAGTAAAACCACTTTGAGACCTTTTGAAACTTTAGAAAATCAACTCACTTCACACAGGTGCTCTGTACAAAACAAAGCAGTCGTAATAAACCGACTTGTTTTAATGCGGATGTGACGAAAAACTCGAGCAGACACAAGTTTATTTAGCAAGTTATTTTTAAAAAAAAATACTTGTCAGGTCCTTAATTGGACATAGTAATGAAAATACAAACCCAGGACAGGAACAGAGGTTTTCAAAGTGGGAAGTGGATCTTCTCAGGGGTCTCTGAACTGTTATAGAATAGCCTCAACATGCTGTTTGGTGAATCAGAGTTCTGAAATACTGTAGTTTGGGGATTTTTTTTCAGTTTTCCCCAACTGTCCCAAAGTCAGAAACTAATAAATACCTTAAGAGACAGACCTTTTTATGTATTTTGTGTGACGTGAAGTTGTGTTAAAATCAGTGTTTGTGTGTCTTGGCTCAGTTGTTGAGTGTCTATGCAGTGAAATAACATAATTTCAAGGGCGTCTAGGAACTGTGCAAAACTGAGTAAACTAGTGAAGTGAAGGGCAGTAATCTTGGTCTGAGTGGAGGCCCACAGTCTCAGACTACTGGCCTGAAATACAACTGACTGGAAGTTGCTGCCTGCCTTGTTATTTCATGGAGACGAGTGTAGTCGTCGAGATGCCGGAGACCCTCTTTGGCAGGACTTTTTAAGCTTTCCTTCGCTGGCTGCTACGCTTTGAGGGGAGATGGTGAGATTTCACAGCCCAGCGACACTTGTCTGAGTGAAATAATGAGATGGGCAGCAACCGTGAATTCACTTTAAATCACTTTTCTTGCTGCAGAGCGACTCCTCGGCGGCGGCACCGCAGAGGAAACTCATCCTGGTGTTGTCAAACAGCATGAGCTGCGTAACTATGCTTTGCTAAAATGCTAAGTTAGAAGTCCAGTTCTGAAACACTCACCGTGAACTGGGTAAAGGCAGCATCCTAAGAGAGCTGTTCACTTCACGAGGACACGCAGCTATATGTCAGAAATGTCAGGTTTAGGTGGCCACCACTGACCCCAGATCTGGGCCACGCAGCACCCAGTCTGCATGCTCCCACAGGGGGGCTGCCCTTTGTACGCCTGCCCACATTAACCACCGCTGGTGTGGCAGGAAATGTTTATTTTATTCAGAAATTATTTACTGCCACTCGCAGCTCATTGACAGTCCGAGTGGGACATCAGGTCTTCGCTGACTCAAGTCGTACCAAATCAGAGTTTTAATGATTTAATTAAATCAAAAATTAAATTTGTCCCAGCGCCTGAAATGACCCTTTACTGATGGCAAGGTGTGGTGTGTTTTGTTTTGTTTGTTTGTTTGTTTGTTTGCAGGTTGAGAAAGAGCTGAAATCAATCTGCAACGACATTCTGGATGTACTGGACAAGCACCTCATCTTAGCTGCTACCACGGGAGAATCTAAGGTTTTCTACTACAAAATGTGAGTTTCCAGTAAATGCGTGTAAATGTGCGTTCATGACGACCAGCGCAAACACGCACAGAACAAAGTGTTTTGGTTCTGGATGCGTGATTTGCTTGATGACCTCTTTCGCTCCTCCTGTCCCGTCCTGCCTTAAACTTTTCTTATCAGTTAATTGTGATGTGATGTGGGTCTGAGCTGCTTCGTGTTATATTTACTGTGAAGTGTTCCTACGGTGGTCAGCAAATAAGAAAAAGTTGTTTGTTGCCGGGCAGCCTGAGGGGTGTTCTGCGAAACAAAGATGGCTTGACGAAACCTAAAACCCCAATCAGACATAATAGCATCAAGCAGTGTTTATCGTGTCTTCTGCTAGCCAGGTTTTCCCCCAACACGCTCTGTGTACGATACGAAAGGGGCTGTTTGACTTGTCATTTGACTCTTCTTTGTAGCGTACCAACTGTGTGCCGGCTTCAGCAGAGAGGAAGAAATTGCGAACGCAAAAAGCACTTAAACTGCAAACGATGCAAGAGAGGACTGCTAGTAGAAAAATGTTAATGATTCAAGTTCATATACTCAGTGGCTTATTTCTGATGTGACAGCCACACACTAGAGCTCCGACACTAAAGTCATTTTAGTTTCTGGACAGACTAAAGTGAAATTTAGACCTCGTCCACATGTAGCAGGGTTTTTGTAAAACCGAATATCCTGCCTCGTCCGTCTAGAAAAAAGCTAACGTACACACCACCTCGATTTTAGAAAAGGATTCCTCCTTATCTGACCACGTTAGTGCGTTGTTCCGAACATTCATGTTCTACGTGAGGATGTAATAACTCCGATGACAGGAGCGACAACCGGGACGTACAGATATTGTCACGCCTCTCAAAGTTCTCCCACCAGCTGGCAGCACGTCCCGGTTCTGACCCAAAACCGGCGTCGGTGTCTTTGACGGAGAACACGCCTCGGACGTGGAATGGCAAGAAAATAACCGTCCTCCGCCTGTGTTCTTGGAGCGGTATCTGGACCTGGACCAGAGACGACACAGTTCTGAGGGCGTCCACGCTGTTTCCACATGTAAACACAGGTCACGTGTGTGACGTAAAGAACACGTTTTGTCGCAGGCAGTGACGTTTGGAAACCTAAAACCTGGTTACTGACATGCAGACGCATAAACGGAGGATTCACAGATCTTCACTTTGGTCGGAGGTTTTTGAAAGAATCGTTTTTAACGCCGTAAATCTGCGTTTTTGTGTGGACGACAGGAAACTTCGTAGAAGAATATCTTCGTTTGTCAGATACCCTGCTGCGTGTGGACGAGGCTGAAGGTTATTTATTGAATATTGTCTCTGACTCATGAGCTTCATGATCTGTGATCTGCAGACAATCAGGACCTAACATAAAATCGCATTGAAGCATTTTCTACATCACCACCTGAATGCATGCAGGTTCCTGTGACCTGGAGCTGCACCGCTTCGTTCAGTGGCGTTACTAATGTTCAGCAGGTTTGCAGATATAATTCCCTTAGCTGAAAATCTGTGTTGCTTGCAGATGATCAGGAGAAGAACTAGTGAAAGGGAGACGCTTCTTACAGATGACTTAAACAGAACAGAACCTCCTCCAGAGCAGGTTCACTGTGCAGCATCAGTTACCATGGTAACATAGCAGGCATTAAAAACTCCAGCTTCAGGCTCAACATGCTTCACTGAGCCGTTGAGCGTCCCCTCAGGGCGTCTAACGTCCACACGGCTGCTGGTCGGAGATTTCCTGTGTGTGTGGTGATGTCCTACGTGTATACGCTGGAGTGTTTCATCTGAAGTCAAACTTTTCTGTTCGTGTTTAATCACAGTTTGCACTCTGATATTAATTATGTAGGTTTCTGGCATAGTTTAGGAATCCGCGACGCCTCGTCTTCCTTACAGCAGGATTGCCCTATTTACAATGGTTCATCACAGTTTGAGCTGAGTTTGAGGTGTGATGGCTGTGGAGGAGAGCTGTTCCACGCAGCACTCTTGTTTCTCCTACAGGCCTGTCGACATGAGATGAACTTAAATGCTTATTGTCCTCCTGGAGAATGAATCTCTACAACACAGCAGGACACAATAAGTCTCTTCAGTAAATCAATGGTTCAACTGAAATCAACTTTTGAGTGAACAAAACCCCCAAAAATCCCACCAGAGTATTTCACCCACCATTTACTGCCCTGCTGTTTCCTAACAGGCAGATCTCTGATCACAGATATTCAGCTCTAAACAAAATTAAGCTGCAGAACCGCTGCTTGGTTGTTCAGACTGTTTACCGTACATGTGTTCTGATTGCACTTCTATGGACCTCAGAGGCTCTTTATTCACATGGATCAGGACCATCAGGCCTGTGGGTACCGAGCGGCCCCAGAAAGGTGCTTCAGTCTCCTCAGCTCCACTTGCTTTATTTGAAAAGGATTTCTCCAGCTTGTAATACGCAGCCTCTGAAAAAATGTTTGTTTTTGCTTCAGACGACCACGGGGAGAGACTTTTCAGTATTCAGTGCTCATAACGCCGCTGTGAGCAGCTACAGCGTTTGGATTTCTTCCTTTTAAAGCCTGATGGACAGTAAGGCAGGAGGGCCATGACCATTTATCCAGTGTCTGGTACAAGCTATTAGAAAGACCTCAGCTCCCCAGCTCGAGTTAGTATTTTAATGAAATGTGCTGTGACATGTCAGAAAACCATGAAACACAGCAACGTTTATTGAAAAGTCTTCACTGTCGGTTTAACAGTTGATGTGTTTGTCTCACCCTGCACATTGCAGGACATTAGACTCTGTACCTGTGATTTATTTAGATCTTGCCGACACATCAGTGCTCTAAACTCTCTGTTTCTGTTGTGTGTTTGTGTGAAAGTTGATACCTGACCTTTGTGTTTCCCCTGCTCAGGAAGGGAGATTACCACAGGTACCTGGCAGAGTTTGCCACAGGCAACGACAGGAAGGAGGCAGCTGAGAACAGTTTGGTAGCGTACAAAGCCGCAAGTGACATCGCCATGATCGAACTCCCTCCAACGCACCCCATTCGTCTGGGACTGGCCCTTAACTTTTCAGTTTTCTATTATGAAATCCTCAACTCGCCAGACCGTGCTTGCAGGTGAGTGTTTTCAGTACTTTGGTAAAAGAAAATAATCATATTAAAAAAACATCCCAATTGCAGGTGCTCAGTTTGAAGAAAGTTCAGAAAGCTAAAATTTGAGGGAAATATTTGGCATATTCTGGCATGTTTAGTGTCGGGTGTTTGGCATCCCAAGTGTTTCATAGGACTTAATTTGTTGAATGCATCGTGTGTAGAAAGGAATCAGCATCCGTCAGTCATGTAGCATTGATACTAAACTACTGAGCACCACTACGGAGCGTTTTAGCTTCTAGTATGAAAAAACCCCTCTGATAAAGCCGCTGTAACCGAGTGTACAAGCTTCAGAAAGACACTGCAATCATCTAAAGAGTAAAACAACAAAGACGTTTTTTCCTTTCTGGACCTGGTTGTAACCAAACTAGACCTTAAAGGAGGATGAATATTTGTCACCTGGAACATCATCTTTTGCTGTTTTTCTGGAGTCCAAAAACCCACGAGTCCTCCCTTTGAAAAACAAACCGGCTGCTGCAGTTTGCTTTTTTTTTGTCCAGTGTTTGTAAATCACATCCACATGTTTTAATATCTTCTCCTTTCTGCTGTGGTCCAAGCCACATGAAAAGAAACTGAGCGTGTGCTCCAGCTGTTCGACGCTGTTGGAGCTAAATGACTCCGAGAACTTCTTCCAGTGAACGCACTAATTTCTGCCCGTGTGCTTTGCTTCACTCCATTTGCGCTGCTGCAGTTGGAAGCAGAATCAAACGCAGACGGTCTGGCCTGAAACTCAAACAGTACGGATGCTTTAGCTGTGTGTTTGCCAGACGATGTGCAGCGTTTCCTCTGTGCCTTTACTGACCGGGCTGTCTTGCGTCCTCTCTGCTCACAGGTTGGCGAAGGAAGCATTTGACAATGCCATTGCAGAACTGGATACGCTGAGCGAGGAAAGCTATAAGGACTCAACACTTATCATGCAGTTGCTACGTGACAACTTGACACTATGGACCTCAGACGTGCAGGGAGACGGTGAGTGACCCGGCCCGTTCTTCACATCACGTTACTGGAAGATGGATTTAAATTATCCCCAGTTTCATGTTGTCCTTTGCTCTGCAGTGATAAATGATTGGTTCCCTCATGAGTTGCAGTCTGACTGTGTTTTCTTTTTAGAAGTTTTCTCTAACTTTGGTTTCTCTAAAACCTGAAGCATCTCTCACCTCTGTTCAGGCTCGATACTCACACTTCTTCTCTAACTCTTCATCTCCCCTCATTCCTCTTTAGATTCTTAAGGACAGCCCTCTTCCTTCCCTCTTCTCGGTTATAGAAGTGTATTTTGTAAGTCATTGCTCCGGTCTTGGGCTTGTGTGCCTCCACCTCAAGCTGTCCCTCCTGTCTCACCACCCTAACATCCTTCACCACCCTAACATCCTTCACCACCCTAACATCCTTCACCACCCTAACATCCTTCACCACCCTAACGTCCTTCACCACCCTAACGTCCTCACGGCACCAACCAGTCCGGCCTTTCAGGGATTGCACAGCTGTAATTTGCCTAATTGTATTGCTTCCTTTTCCACCCTCTTGTGCACGCGTGGAGCTCGACTGCTGTGTGTGTTTTCAGTGTCTCCAGGGTGTCCGCAAAACTTTCAATCATGCAAGGCTGTGTTTACCTCTCACCGGGGCAGATGATTACAAGATACTGCCCCAATAAACCGCACAAGTCCTGACTTCACTTCCCAACTCGCTGCTGCTGCTGCTGCTTCGCTAGTTTCCGTTTCTCGTTTTATCTCTCAGCAGATCAGAACATGTTCCCGCATGTCGTAAAACGATAGTTAGGTCCCCACGTGAGAACAAACGCCGCAATCTTCCATCTTGTATCTGTGATTTTTATGAGTGAAAACTGATGTTGAGGCGTGTTAATTAATGTCGGCTTCGTAGCAGATCCACGGAAACTTTCTGGTTAATGTTTTCTCTCCAAGCTGCTTGACTGATTAACCGTAAAAAAATCACACATCAGTCTACGATTCTTCTCTAGAACAATGATCAGCTGATTGCAGCACATTCAATCCACAACAGTCACAGGCAGTATAAAATCTGCCATCTACATTTAATATCCTCTGCTTCTCATTTCATTTTCTGGTTGTAGCTGCAGGTTGGGGTTATTATTAGATCAGTTTAATTGATGTTAACTCTCTGAACCCCGAGCAATTTCTGGGCTTTTTTTATTTTTTATTATTTATTTTTTTGCTCCTGTCACATTTTCTTCACTGAGGGCTCAGTTTTCTCTGCAGTAAAAAGTCCTGCACCTCCACGGAAACATCCCAGCCATGACCAGAGGTACAAATGTCTTCTGACCAGCATGTTGGTTGGATTACTTAAAGTGCAGGAATTGGGTAAAAAACACATGTGCAACCACCAGTACTGCAAAAAAAACTTGGTGGCTCTACTTTCTATAGATATTCTACTACTTCGATTGTTACCGCTGTGTTTTTTTTTTTTTACACTTCTCTGCATATCAACTCTAGAAAGATATTTCACCTGAATATATCCTCTGCTGACAACTTGCTCCTCTGTAGCCCATGTTTGAGCCACGCTGCATTTATTTTATTGCTCAAATGTGTTTTATTGTCCTCTTAATCCCTCTGGTTTGTTTCCGTGTTCTCTCCTATCTGCTCTGTGTAAACACAGCCTGCATTCAGCTAAATAGTCCCTGAATGTTGACTACTAGACACAGAGTTGAGTCACTGATAGTTAGTCAGTTGCACCGAGGACTGCAGATTTTTTTTGGTTTCTTTATAGAGTATAGTGCCAATGGGTTATTCATGATGAAACGGGGGGAAAAAAATTCAGCTGCATTTATTTAAGGAGTGTCTGAAAGCTAAAAAGTTAAGTCTTTCTGTTTTTATAGTTTCTGAGCGATAAATGGAAGAGAACATATTTTTCTAAATCTTTTGGGGTTCAGAGGATAAACTACAAACTCGTCTTTCTGGCTTGTTTCCGAACAACAGCTTGTTCTTCACAGCTTCAGTCTGCAAATGTTGTAAAGACCGGACTCTTATGAAATGTTGTCAAATAGCAGTCCTGATTACACACAGTTATTAGAACGATGATGGCAAGGAGATAACGAGAACTGACGAGAAAGGTTGGAAATGACCCACGATGAAGGCGTCTGAGCTGACAAAGGTCGTGTTTTCATAGTGGGGGACTTCTCAGCCTCAACGATGCCCCATGGCAGTATGATCAACAGAACCTGATTTATCAACTGTCTTAAACTTTCACAAGCATTAATCTAGTGGTATCTAAGTGGGAAGTGTAAAAATGAAATATAGAACGTAGCTTATCTTTGTCCCCCACAGTGGAAAAAAGAACACAAATTAAAGCCACAAGCGGCGATGGACGGGTCCTCGCCGTACGATCGTCAGCCTTCGGGGTTCGGTAGAAACGTGCTCTGAGTGGGACTCTGATCTGGCGTGTCGAGTTTCGGGCAGGTCAGAGCACGTGTGACCTAGTTACGAGCCACTTCCTGTTTAATGGCGAGCACGCGTGTAAAGTTTCAGACTGATCGGAGCACATACAGGCCACTTACATAGCACGTCTCTTATTGTGGCGCCCTCCTTTTTCAAAATGGCGAACTTCCTGTTGGGTTTAGGGTTTGGTGCTGATTGACTTTTTGGTGCGTCCCGACCTGCTACACATGCCCACTGAATGTCGTGGGTGTTGGTGAAACGAGCTTCCGACAGGACTCCGTTGAATGCTGGAAAAACAGTGAAAATGCGCAAAATGGCCTTTCGTTGAAATTGTGCGGGCCGCCATTTCCACACCGTCAGAATTTTGCGGAAGATTTTAATACCTTTTAATCACCACGTCCTGTAGCTTGTGCTGGCCAAATTTCAGGTGTGTTCGACGTACTCCCAAGGAGGAGATTGATTTAGAAAATGGCCGAAAAATGAGCGAATATCACTAGGCATGCTCGCCATTTGTCCAACATGGCAGATTTCCTGTTGGGTTTACAGAAACGAGCTAATGGACTTTTTTATGTGTCCTGACCTGCTACATATGTGTGCCGAATGTTGTAGCTCTAAGTGAAATGTAGCCCCGATGGGACTCTGTTGAAATATTGTAGGGGGCGCAGTTGAGCAGTGTTGCATTTTAGAGCTTGGAGCTGGTGAACTTTTTTGTGCGTCCCGACCTGCTCTCCAAATGTCGTAGCGCTGCGCCAGACATGCTTCCAATGGGACTTTGGTGAAATTTTCAAGGGGGCGCTGTGGAGCCATTTTGGCAGTGACATGTCCACATCCCCTATAATATCGCAATGTTCGCTAGTCCTGATGTACTTACAAACGTTCCTGAGTTTCCCAGTTCGTTTAGGCTCAAAATAACAAAGTTAAAAAATAATAATAATCACAGCAGTTTGAAAAGGCTCGTTGCACTGTCAGCGCTCGGACCCTGATGACTCCGGCCTTATATTAACCCAGAGAGCTTGCGGACACCCTGCTCCTTCACCGTGCACCTCAGCGGCACTGCACAGGGCTACAGCCGATCACGTCTGGGCTCAGCACCGCTTTTAAAACCTGTGAACGCAGCTCGCTGAAGTGCGGTAGCAGCGTCTGAGGCCGTCGCTCCGTCTCCTGCAGCTTTCTCACATCCCTGTTAGCCGCGGCGCTAATGAGTGCTGCTACGGTTTCTATTTTAATCATGACGGATTCTCGAGCCTTTTGTTATTTGTGCCTCTTAATTCTTCATTACACGGATGGCTGTGCTGTCTCTATGGTAACCTTTCTAAGCAACCAGTTGCACAGGTTCACAAGGCATTTCACCCTCTCAGTACATCTGACCGAGCTTGTGTGGAAGACACTGAATTAACTCTCGCTCGCTGGCCTGCATGTTGACGCGGTAAATGCTGGTTATTTTTAGCATGATCGACTCATCCACTGGTCAACACGTTCCTTAGACAAAGTTAGTTGTGCACTTTTATTGGATGTGATGGTCATTGTTCTGTGTCACATGTTTAATGTGCTCATCAGGGATGATCTCATTCAGTACGCTGCAATTTGCATAAATTTCCATAACAAACATCTTAACATAAAGCCGGCTTTAAAACTCTTATTTCACTTGGTTGACACGTTTTGGTGAATGTTTTTGCAGAGGAAATTCTTTTATCTGTTTCGTCACTCGGTAAATTAGAAAATACTGTCAAAAGCCACAGAGTTCTATTTTCAGTATGTTTACAGGAATAAAACGTTTGTTAAATCAGACTGAAAGGTATTTGGTGCACGAAAGCACGACTGAAAGGAAGGTTTTAAACAGTCTTAAAAAAAATGTGTTGTACAGTTCTATACCACTATTTATAGGGAACAAAAACCTCAAACATTAAACTATAAAAACTTCCCCAACTGATTATTTACTGATGGTTGCATGTTTAGTAATGCAGAATGGGTGTTGTCTAGATAATCAAGCTCTAATTTGCATAATGTCTGTATAGACATACGCTGGGTCGTAGGATAATTACATTAAAGTCTACTTTGGATGTTTTCTTTCCAGAAGCCTACAAAAAAAAAGATATTTTATGGATCCACAATCTGACTTATGCATGAAAACTTTTTGCCTTTAAATGAGCGTCAGGTGGTCAGGGTCAGCTGTTCCTCTCATTGCCTGACTTGATCCTTCACCTCCATGGGGCTTTGTTTGTGAACACGATGCTCATCCTGTGATTGACAGAGGAGCATCTTCTTAGTGTTTGATAACCTTGGGGTTGGTATTGATTCAGCATCTGCACTTCGTAGCTACAAAGACGTGCTTTTCATTTTGGTGAATGTTGGTCGGTGGGTGTTTCTAATGGTGTGATGTCGGTCATGATTGCGAGTGTTGGCTGAAGGTCCAAACCAACAATCACTTGATCCTGCTCTACTGGTGTCGCTTTTTCAGTCATTCTCTGACGTCGCTTCTTATTTTTGTGTTTTCCGGTGATTGAGCCACACAAGTTGAACCTTTGAAACGTTGCAGAAACGTTTCTTGTTTTGATTGAGCAGTGAAAGAAACCAGAAACTAAACGACTTGTTTTCCAACTGCCAAAAAACCTTAAAAGAGAAGAAGAAGAAATGAGCAAAACTTTGGTGTGCACAAGAGTCAAACGAGAAAAAACAAAACCAACTTAAGGAATTCTTTTGAAACTTGTCTGTGAAGATCCTCAGTCCTCCAGGTCCTGGTTCTTCTGGTGGATTAATCGTAGCAACTGGACTCGCATGAGTTCCTTGAAGACGTTCCACCTCTCATCCAAGAGGCTTCATCAGCTCTGACTGAGTAGTTGGGAGTTCCACATACTTCTATCCTTAAGGAGCCGTTAACACTTTAGTTTCGGCTTCAATTGGGGGGTTGTTGCTCCTCCCCCTCGTTGTGTGAGTCGTTAGTGCTCCCCCTGACACAGTGGGGTTCGTTAGGGTCTTTGTGGCTAGGTGTAAATGTAGTTTCATCTTCCTGGGGAGAGATATTCGGACTGAAGTGTAGACAGGTGAGAGGTGGTGCCTCTGACCTCCACCTCTGTTGAGGGATGGTCTTTCCAGTTTGATATAGATGGCTTCTTTCACCCCTCTCACAAACCATCTGTCCTCCCTGGACTACGTAAAGTCTTTTCAGAGTTGCAGTTATTCTTTTATGCTGGTCATCTCCACGTTTCGTGCTGTGGAGATTAAAATGATGACAGAAGCAGAAACGTCTGACCAGTCGAACGGGTTAAACGTCTGATGCATCAAAACGTACTCAGAAAAGGTGTTTCCATCGTTCACGAAGCAACTCGGCTCATCCTGGAACAACTACTTTAAGCGAGCACGAAAACTTCACGACTTTTCTGAACCAAATCTTGGATGTTTGTTTCCATGAACTTTTTGTAAAACCTCAAAATGCACACAAAGTATTCTGGGTACACTAACCCCACGTTTCCTAATTAAAGCCTCGCAGTTGAGAAGTCAGACATGAGTAGGAGTGGTAGCTTTCAGGTCTCTGTGAGCATTCTTAGTAGTGGGATCATTTCATTGTTGGTTTCATTTTTTATGGCATTTATCGATTAGCTCATCAAGCTCTGCAGAAGCCTGATAACGATCCTGATCATTTGAATCAGGTGTGTTGGAAGAGGGACACATCTAAAACATGCAGGACTGTGGCCCTCCAGGACCAGGACTGGACACCCCTGGCCTAAAACCACCACACCCATCCACAGTAACAATCCAAATGCCACACAACTAAAGTGACAACTGAAAAAATAGTCATTAAACATTTTGGATTTGAGCATTAATGCTCCCATGATCCTTTGTGCAGCCAACACAGGACTGTTTCTAGTTGTTACTCAGCTAACTACGATATTACACAGCAAACAAACTGGAGTCTTCCAGCTCACCAAACAGTAAGAGGCTCCACCTGGTGGCGCAAAGAGGGACTACAGGCAACACACACATCCCTCGTCTTCTGCTTTATAGTCGTAACTATTAATGCCCCTATTGGGGACTAAAGATCGGGAGGCTGACGCTTCAACTCGACGACCTCTTTTTGGTTTCCGTGTTGTCGGATTTGTTCAGACCTTGAAGACGTCTGAGTGCAGAAATATCAGCAACCCCAATCATTAGTCCATGTTTTTGTCTTTATCTCAGGTGAAGAACAGAACAAAGAAGCACTGCAAGATGCGGAGGAAGAGGCCCAGTGAGACTGAACAACCCAAGATGAGCCCTCATCATCCTCTTCTTCCTCCTCCTCCTCTGATTTCTCTCCTCCCGGCACTAGCTCCTGTCCCCAGCCACAGTTTTCAACTGGGTTTATACTGCAGCCCACACTCTTTCTCTACCTTCTTCTCCATCTCTACCCCTCTGTCTCGCCTTTTCTCCTCGTATGCACGTCATCTCCTGCCCCCCCCAGGGCCCGCTCGGCTCTCCATTTCCACTACCCCGGGCTTCTACCTTATTTTGATGACTCCTTTTGCAAGCCTGTACCCTTGAACGGGGACAGGTGGGTTTGTTTGAAGTGGGACTGTATGAGGTCCGTCAGCACCACCCTGTTTGGAGAAGCAGGAAGGGCAGCCGAGCTATGAGCCGCTGTGGGTGGGGTCAGCAGCAAAATGTGCCACCTGGAGGGGGGGCGTCAGTTTAAAGTGTACGCTATCTTTAGAATATTTTCACTGCTCCACCTTGCAGTCAGGCAGCCGATCCCGACGGGGACCCGAAGCTGTTAAATCGCTCTCTTCAAAGCCACCAAACTCCTTTGGACAAAAACTGTAGTTTTGCCTCACAGAACGGGGGCGTCGCTGGTTTGCTGCCGTGTGACTTCAGCGTTTTGACACGTTGGTTGGGATCCTAGCTTACATGTTAAAACACCAGAGTCACACAGCAGCAGACCGGCAGCTGCCGCGCTCGGCGACGTCAGAGTACAGTTTTTGTCGAAGGAGTCTGGCGGCTTTGAAGAGAGCGATTCAACAGCTTCAGGGAAAAGGCTGCTGAGTGGTAAAGATATTCTAAATATAGCAAACTGATGGCACTTTTTAGGTTGCTAACATACATTTTGCCGCAGAGCCCGTCTACAGCAGTGCATCGCTCAGCTTGCCGGGGCGCTGACCATCATCCACTGTAGGTAATAAACACTATGAACATAGACGTCATGCAGCCCCGCTTCAAAGAAACCCGACCGTCCCTCGAAGGTTCACGTCCTCTTTTACTGTTTTTATTTTTGCTTTACTTTGCTGTATCATCTGTTGCCAAGTACGCTTGCCTGTATTTGTAACACACATATGCAAGAGTTTATTTAAAGACAGTTCTCTGTTGTTCATCTTTTTTTCCTGTATATGTGTGTTTATGAACAATATGTTGTCCGTGCTTCTGTCAGTTTTGAAACACTTCAGTTATCACGTTGAGGAAATTTAGCCGTGAAGGAAGGTTCAAAAGGGATGTGTTAAAAGCTTTTAGGAAGAACTAAGTGCCCTCTTTACTTTGTGGTTACCAGACCTGCTCCGTTAACACATCAGTTTGTGTTTTTTTTGTTTTTTTAAATGACAAACATCAGAATGTCCCCCTTCTCCGAGCATCACTCTGACCTCTATTCTCGTCCACTCTCGGACCAAGTATTGTGCTGCGAGGCTGTAGCGCTTTTGCTAATGGCAGATAGTTAGGTAATGGCTTTTTAACAGACAAAATGTGCGCGTGTGTGTGTGTGCGCGGGAGGGGAATGCTCAACACTCTTTGATTGTAATGTAATGCAGTTTTGCATTGGCACTATATAAAAACAGTTTGGGAAATAGAGGCCTGCTGTATCTTTACTCCCCTGACTCTTTCAGGTTTCCTCGTCTCGACTCCGTCTTCTTTCCTCTCGTTTCCTCTCTTCCTTCCGTTCAGTATGTGTAACGTGAATCTGATTTGTACTACTGGATATTCTCACCGGAGCCACAAGTACCATCTGTATTCTTACTGAAACACAGCATGGAATTAACATTAAACTTCAAATTGAAAACGTTAATGTGAGGTGTCGTCTTCTGCTTTCAGCTCGTGCTTTGGTTTCAGTCTGATTTTGAACCACTAGAGGGCAGCGATGGCTAACGGCAGAGGAAAGATTCTGCAGTTCAGCTCGAGTGCAGTCAAATTCCATATATCCTCAGAGGTGCTCAAATCTGCTGATTAAGAAAAACCTCAAATGTAGCTCTGCATTAAAACTCATTTAAAGTAAAAGTCCTGCATTTAAAACCTAATTAAAATAGAAATGCTGTGCTTAAGTACATTTTTGAGGTACTTGTACTTGATTGTTTCCATTATGTGCTATTTTATACTTGTATGCCACAACATTTCTGAGGAATATTGCACTTTTTAGTCACTGTATCTATTTGACAGCATTTGTTTTAAGTGAATTCTGTCGCTTTGGGTGGGCAGACCTCCACCGGCGTCGCTCAGTGATGGCAGAGAAGATGATTTTCATCTGAGGAAAACGCCAAATCCTGGTGGCACGGGTTTCGTGCTCTGGATCCACTTTGGCAGGAAGGATCTCGGAGGCGGCATCAGGCAGCTGCCACTGGTTTTCCTCCAAGGCACCGATGGGGCAAAGGAAGAGGTTTCTCCAAACCAG